GACTTGAACTTTGCATGACTTTGACTTGACCTTGACTGACCTTGATTGGAACCGGTTTCTCCCACCACAAAGTGCACCAGGAATGGCATAGAGTATCTACTTGTGTATTAAAATTTTACCTCTAATTCGGAGTAAGTAAAATATATACCATAATGGAAAAGCTTATCTACCCTGGGTTAAAGAAAGAGGTGTGAGTATTATGTGTGAGTAAGTGCTTGTTTAGTTTTTTCCCTAACGGAATAATTAGAGAACAACTTTTTTGGGCTTTACGGCCCTCCACCTATCTTCCTCATCACTGAGACTCAAAACCATTTGGTGATTATTTACGAATATTCTCTCATGTTTAATGTCTGTATAATATATAGTCTACTGTGAAAAAAGCGATGTTTAGTATTTAACCTACATGTACGTTGTTTATCGTTTTAGGGTGAAATTTGCGTTTATTTATATGTTTACATTTACAAAAAAAAAACAAAAAATTGGGGGAAAAACTAAACAAGCGACGATTATAAACTGAAAATTCAGTTTCATAAAGTTTTGTAGTTATTGTAAAGTAATGAATTTTTTGAAGTGAAAGATTGTTTATTAAAGAAAAAGTATCCCTAGGCCAGTGGAAGCCAACCTCTTAAATGTATTGACCTACTTTGTTAATTTTGGAATAAACAGCGAGCTACCTACACGGAAGCCACGTAACGTAACGTAAATGAAATAATCCACAGTTAATCTATCATTATATGTATTTATTTTACTGTTTAACTGGTAATACATAATACATAGGTACTAATAATAAACTAATAACAAAATAACTAATATTACTAGTATGTACTTGTTCATAGCTACATTCTTACCTATCAAACGAAGGTATTTGAAAAATAAACAAAAACTTTTATCCAGCCACAACGGCATGTCACGTATGATTTAAAAATAGTTAATAATAACAACAAAAAAGTAACGCACTATCATAAACATAAACATTGAAAAATAAAAAAGCACGTTCAATGAGAAGGATGACACTAAGACTCATCGATAATTTTTTTAATGTTTGCAGTATAATTTGATGCAGCCATTCGAATACAATTATTCAAATGTTCATATGTAAGTCGATTGCGATATTTGTTCTTAATAAACTTCATATTGGAAAAAGAAGATTCACACAAATAGGTTGAACTGAATACTGCTTTCACTTTCAAGGCAACACGGCATAGAACTGAATATTTGTCTTTACTTACAATAGGCCAGATACATTCAGTACTTGAGACTAACGATTTTAAGGCTAAATCATTTTGAAACTCAATGACTTCCATTTCTGTTGCAGCGATGTCTTCGCCAAAGTTCTGCATAACACAAGCTGCAAACTGCTGGATATCAATTTCCAGAAACGGTGAAACAACAAACTGCGCTACTTAAGCCATTTTATTGAAATCCTTAAAACGATTTTTGAAGTTCCTCTTCAGGGTAGAAATTATTTCTACATGATATTTGTTGTCATAGGGTTCTAATGGAGATTCTTTTGAGATATTTTTTCTGAAAGAATAGGAAAATGCTTGGAATCGCTGTTAATTAAGTTTTGTTCCCAAAACTCCAACTTTTTAATAAATGCTTTTATATTAGAAATCATTTCCGCTAGTTCTTTGTCTCTCCCCTGAAGCTGCAAATTAAGTTCGTAATTTCTCTGTAATGTCCACGAGAAAACCAAGATCTCTAGGCCAGATTAAATTTTCTAGTTCCGGAGTCGGTTCATCGCGTTGTTTGAAAAATTGAACTATGCCAGATAGGGCATCATTAAAACGTTTCAGCACCCGTCCTCTACTTAACCATCGGACTTCAGAGTGAAGGAGTAGGTCCCCGTATTGATAGTGAACTTCATCGGCCAAGGTTCTGAATAATCTTCTTTTTAACGCTTGAGCTATAATCTTGTTCACAATTTTTACCACCAGTTTCATAACGTTGTTTAGTTTCAGGAAATTTCCACATAATACTTGCTGATGGATAATGCAGTGGTAACAGAGAAATTGTGGAAAAGTTTCATCTTTAAGACATAACGCCACAAGATCCTTATCACAACCCACCATAGCTGGAGCGCCATCGGTTGTCAAGCCTACTATTTTCGATATTGGAATTTTCTTGGAAGAAATAATATTTTTTAAATGAGAAAACAACTCCTGTCCAGTAGTGTATCCTTTCAGTGGAATGAACTTTAAAAGATCTTCTTTAATCGTAAAATCGCTAAAAACCATCCTGACGAACACGGCCATCTGGGCAGTGTCAACGACATCTGTTGATTCATCCAGTTGAAGTGAAAAATAAACAGTTATCTAAGTCAGTTCTTAACTGTAAAAAAATATCATTGCTCATTACTTCTACACGTCTCATCACTGTATTAGTGGAAAGTTGCATAGATTTTATAGCTGAAACTATCTCGTCTTTATTTCTAAAGCTGGTAAATAACGAATCAGCAGCTTCTAAAAACGCCTTTTTTATCATTTCCCGTCTTCATAAGGTTTCTTTTTTTTTGTGCAATTATCTGGGACATACGGTACGATGCTTCAGTTGCAGCCTTATTTTTGTCGACTGTTCTTAAAAATATTGATTGTTGTCCAATTAACTGTTTTTTTAAATGTTTCAGTTTCTCCTTTCTGGCGGCAGAATGTAGTGGGAATGATTTTTCAAAATTAGAATGTACAGTTTTATGATGTCTCTCAATATTTCCTTTTTTAGCAACGGAGACCGAAGTATTACATAACAAACACACATTTTTATCTTTAACTCCTGTAAAAAAGTATTGTTCTTCCCATTCCGAATGAAAGTGGTATGTCTTTACGTTCTTACAACTGCTTGCCATAATATTATTTTTGTTGTTCTGTACTAACCCAACCGCTGAACGTTAGTTACGCGTTCAGTTTTAAACTAAGCGCAATGTCGCCGCGCCGTGCGTATTTATCCCGTTCAAAGCAATCCAGATCGTTCTTGAACACTAACGCGCTGGTCCGACTGGTCGGTTCTATAAATAGCCGATTCTAATTTGACGGCGTCAGGAGCAGATCGCTCACCGCAAGGTTGCCGCTGTTTATGTTTAATATTATGACAATTAGATTTTTTTGTGAAATTTTCGGAAGCTTCTCTGATTTTTGCACTTTGTATTTTTTAAATTAAAATCGTTGTAAGAGCTACCAGAATTGCCTCCGCGAGCTACCGGTAGCTCGCGATCGACAGGTTGGCGACCACTGCCCTAGACAGTAAGCAAAGATCCAGGCAAAAAAGCCAATTTTACACGCCAGTGCAAGAAATATGTTGTAACAGATAATAAGTTGTATTAGACAAAAGGAGATATTTTATAATACTTGTCGTCTTCAACAATTCTATTCCTACAATGCGGTATTTAAAAATATTGTTGCATTCCATGAAGAGCTGGGTAGTATAAGTTTATTATGCTTATTAGTAACCAGAAGTAGTTATCAAAGCATTTAGTAAATTCAATTAAGTAGTTAATTCAAAGACAATCACATTTAACAACACAAAAATGCTTCTTACATTTCAATTTTTTAAAACATAGGATAAAAAGAGTAAAATTTCAACACAAAGATTAAAAATTTAACGTTAAAATTTTACTTTATAGAGTAAAAATTTAACGTTATATCAGGATACCGCTTGATTAGAGCCGCTTAAAGGCCGATTTATATATATATAGATATATATATATATATATATATATATATATATATATATATATATATATATATATATCCGTGCCGTGTCTGTTATATATGAGTGAGTCCGTGAGTATATTTATACATTGGCGTTTTCCGGAAGGGGCCCGTTCGTGCACGGCTTAAAATGAATCCCAAACGATATTTTTGTTTTCGCCACCTGGAAGTAAAGGTGGCTGTGCCACTGGCGGTGCACGGAAATGACCCTGACCTTGAGTCACCTGGCTTTGTCTTGCTATGACGACATGCGCAAAGTCAATTGAAATTAGAACAGCAAGTGAGCATATCCTGTTGTTATAGTATCATGCACTATAATCACACAGTGGACATTTATGTCGAACTTTTTGAGTTTTTATGGAAACCGAGGAAGAAATTGTGACATTTTACTGAACTTTTTTCATAATATAAAAGTTTAAATTTGGCTTATAACTAAATAGTCTATCACAATAAGTACACTTATAGACGTTGCCTTTTAGAACTTTTAAAGGCGCAATTAACTCCAATTTGTCGGGATAAGAAATTTTTACATGTCGTCTTAATTCACTTAAACGTTTATAACGAAAATTTATCAGTGTAGTCTTTAACAAACAAGACAAGAAAACACGTGACACAAGTTGTCACGTCACTAAGACGTGATGCGTAAGTCTGTCAGTAATTTCCTCGATTCAAATTCATAATAGGCAACTCACATTACGCGGCTCAGAGTATTGGGTCAGGCTCTAGACATAAGTACAAGATCTCTCTTTCACATAGTAGTGGCATGGATATTTATTTCTTGATTTTTATATGGTTGGTTTTGTATATAATAATACAGCGTATGCAAGTATTTGGCTATCTAGATTATTGTTTGAAAGGCAGAAGCATATAAATTATTTGGAGTGGAATACATACCGTCGTTCTCTCCATTACATCGACAGTTGATAATAATTTCTTAAAATTACGTGTACAATTTATTGCGAAAATGTTTTTATTATCACTAATAGGGTATTGATAGCAGACTAGTTTCTGTTATCTCCTTACAGTATTAAGTTCAGATGGAAACTATATACACATGTATTTTGCATTTTGGTTTATAAGATATTGCATTAACAATTATCTTAAATAGGAGACGATGTATATTTTTGCTTGTAACAACGAAATAATTTCTCTATAGCTGACGGAGTATTTTAGCATTATTATTTAGCAACATAATATTTCATAACCTTATATACGCTTAGTGTTGGATTACAAAGTAATCGAACTACACAATAAATTTTCCTAAATCTAAATTCTATAACTTTGTGTTTTACTTACTGGAAAGTCTTCTTTAGGTTTGCCGGTATTTCTAGAGTAAACCTTCCTCATAACTGCTAATGCTGCTCTATTCCTTCCCATACTCATAAGGTATTTCGGACTCTCTGGTAAAAATATATATAGGATGCCAGAGATTATGGTCAAAGATGCACAAATTAACATGAAGATGTTCCAAGCGTGAAATTCTATAAATTAAAGAATAAGAAATGTACATGTAATATATGTATATCGTCAGATCCGTAAAAGACCAAATCCCTAATGAAGACCATGGTGTCTACGAGATACCTTGTTCCAGTTGCCCACGTACATACATCGGACAGACAAACCTGACGAATCCATAACTGTATTTACGAACATTCTATATCAGTCAAACATTCCGATACTACTTCAGCCCTAGCCCAACATCACATTCAAACAGGCCACAAAATAGACTTCGAAAAAGCAAAAACCATCGCCCCCATCCGCTCCGTAAAATCAAGAATCATTCGTGAAGCTATCGAAATCGACAAACAACCTAACAGCTTAATTACGCGCGATGACGCGAAACGTTTGCCGGCAAAATGGCGACCCCTGCTTCAGCGACCTCCCGCCCACAACGCTCAGGTCACGTCAGACCAAGTCAGCCCATACCGTTTCCGCGCATACAGTGAGTATAAAAGCAGCGACACCGGGTAAGAACGGTTGTCACTCGACACTGAGGAGTAGGCAGATTGAGACCTCAGTGCCGAGAGACAGTTCTCAAGTGAGGGAAGTAGGCAGATTGAGACCCCGAACTCGAACCGAACCGTTTGCGGTTGAATTATTTGAAGACGATATAGACAACTTAAATCAGATAATCAATGCAACTGGGCCAGACATATTGAAAGAAGAAGTAGAATACGCAATAAGAAACGCTAAAAATAGAAAAGAAAATGGACCTGATGAAATTTCTACAGAACTGTTGAAGCTTTTGAATGATAAATCCGTAACCATAATATTACATCTATTCAATACAATATACAGTACTGGTATAATACCTCAAGAATGGTTGCTGTCTACGTGTGTCACCATACCGAAGAAAACTAAGGCAATGCAATGTTCAGATCATCGAACAATATCCTTGATGAGTCACCTGCTTAAAATATTTCTTAGAGTCATCCACAACCGAATCTATCAAAAGTTAAATATCGATATTAACGATACACAGATGGGATTCAGAAAAGGATTAAGTACAAAAGAAGCTCTCTTTGCCTTAAATGTCCTAACACAGAGATGTCTAGATGTTAACCAAAAGGTGCATGTCTGCTTTATAGACTTTGAAAAGGCCTTTGACAAAGTACGCCACAATCAGCTCAAAGAAATCCTGGAAGGTAAGAACATCGACACCAGAGACATACAAATAATATTCTATTCGAAACTTCTTGGTATCTTCATGAAGGCGGACATAAGCTGTACAAATTTCGTAAATACTTTTAATCAAGGCAATATATATAGTCAGTCAATGCTCGAAGCATTTTATGATGATCTATAGTATCGAACGCCTTTTCATAATCTACGAATATAAGAAAGATAGGCTTGTTATACTCTGTACACTTTTCTATTAGCGTTTTTACAACTTGCAGATGATCATTTGTTCCGTATCTGGAGCGGAACCCAGCCTGTTCACAAGGTTGGTAAATATCCAGTTTGTTCACAAGCCGTTTTGTTATTATCTTCATGAACAGTTTGTATGTATGGGAGATCAAACTAATCGGTCTGTAGTTCTTTAGGTCTGAAATGTCACCTTTTTTGTGCATTATGGTTATTATTGCATTATGCCACTAGGAGGGGGTTACACCTCTTGTCAAACAAGCATTGAACATCTTTTTCAACACATTCAGTAATGTCCCTCCTCCTTCTTTGATTTGTTCAATGACTATCCCATCTTCTTCAGGTGATTTATTGTTTTTCATCTCCGAGAGAGCTGAGTTATCAGTAATATAAAAGGAGAATTATTTGAATAAATCATTAAGAAATAAATTATTTCTTTTTAATATATTAATTTTTAGAGAATTTTGATAGCAATTAGTTATTTCGTTTTATGATAACACTAACTCAGCTGGGCAATGTGAGTATACAGTGCTTAGTGTACTAATTTTCTCCATTTCTTTTTATTATTCATCACATACCTCTTTTTCCATAAGAATTCTTATACGTACAGTGATACCTAAAGATCTTAAGTTGCTGAGAATCTTCCTACGGCCGTTAAAAGAACTTCAGACTTATGCAATACGACTTTTTATTTCGTAGCGATGATCTCAGGTAACATTAATATTGCAGCCCAAATAGCATATTTTCTCCACTCTTTCTAACGGTGCATAGTTTATTGTAATTTAGGCGTTTAAGTTGTGTAGTGTTCTTCTAGCAGCTCCCTAAACCTGTTTTTAGAGTATGTGTTAAATAATGCTGCTGACAGTATGCAACCCTGTCGAACTGCTTTCCCAATTATGACGATCTCGGACAGTTCATTTTCCAATCGCACTCCTACTATTTTTAGAGTAAACAGTACACTTGTTCCCTACTTGATCATTTAAATGAGCTAGGGAATTAAATTACACATATTATACTTACTTTACGCAGGGTGGGTGAGTGTAGCATGTGTGCATATAAACAATATCATCAATCGCAATCGGTTATGGTATATGTCATTAGACATGTATAAAAAAATGCCTATTAAGTTTGGTCCGCTGAGACTGTCTGCACAGTAGGATTTTGCAAAGCCAGAAAATAATAGAATTTCGAGGTTAACATTCCAGCCGTTGCTGATAGATAACTTGCGACCGGGGGACAGTCACGCGCATCTTACGCTCGCCGATGTATTCTAGGGGTAGTACAAATATGATTTAGGTTTAAAGAAATAGTCCACAGACCAAGATATGAGAAATATGGAAACACGTGCTTGGCGGAGGAAAGCGATGGATAGGGACGACTGGAAGAGAATTATTGGAGAGGCTAGGACCCACACAGGGTTGTAAAGCCAAAATGATGATGATGAAATAGTCATAACAAAATTAATCGTAGGTTTAAAGAAAATACACTTTTACACTTTCGGTGCAAAGTTAGCCTGCTTAGTGCAAATTAACCTCGTTTTACGGTATTGTTTTTTGAAGTTATACTTCTATACGCGCGTTCAACGTTAGAAATTTGTATGGGAGTGAATCGGTGAAATCATTACATATGTAAGATATGAGAAGATATATTATCTCTCTCTTTCTCTCTTGAGAATAAAAATGTTCTTTTTGTAAATATATTTAATGTTTATTAATATTACTATTCCAGATTTAGTCATACGGCTCACACTCCCTTTAAGGTGAAAATTCACTCATCCCAGATACCTACGGTATCAAAAGGATTGATCTCTGGTGGGACTCTTTCCGTGTTATCGAGCCCTAGGTGACTTGGTATGCTGGAGTATCTCCCAAAAATTTTCGTACACATCGGGATGTTGAGAGTAGTACAGCTTTCTGCATGGTCTTCTAGATATGTTCATTCAGACCTAGCTTTTTTATATCTTCTAGGAGGTTCTTTGGAATGACTCCAGTAGTAGAGAGAATAATAGGTATTGTCTGGGTACTTTCCATTTTCCACTGTCTTCGTATTTGAATTTCCAAATCCCTGTACTTGGCGATTTTTTCGTTCTGTTTAACACGAAGATTATTGTTGTTGGGTATCGCCACATCAATTAATGTTGTTTGTCTCTTTAGTTTATTAACTAGTATGAGATCTGGTCTATTATGTGCCACTGTTTGGTCTGTGAGCACCGTGCGATCCCAGTATAGCTTGTAGTTGTCGTTCTCAAGTATACTCTCAGGAACATATTGATAATATGGAAGATGGTTTGTTTGAAGAAGTCCCAGTTTGATAGCTATCTCTTGATAAAGGATCTTTCCTACTGAGTCGTGCCGTTCCTTATATTCAGTTGCAGCAAATGTCTGACAGCCCCCGGTAAGATGTTGAATGGTTTCCTGAGCTTAGCATCCATATCGGCATTTGTCATTTTGGACCTGAGGGTCTTTGACGATATAATTCAGGTAATTTTTGGTTGGTATAACCTGATCCTGAATGACCAGTAGTGAACCTTCTGTTTCGGGGAACATCTTTCCTGATGTCAGCCAATAGTTCGACGCTATATTGTCGACATGGTCTTGACTGACCTCATTGGAATGTCGCCCGTGCAGAGGCTTGCCCATCCAGGTACGCATTTTTTCGTTCTTAGTAAGGTGGTTTATGCGCATTTCTGGTTCCCTCAGTTTGATCTGTGTTGTGTCATCTACTGCACAAATCGCGCGATGAAGAGTAGATGTCTCCGCCTGCACCTGAAAATAAGTTCTTAAATTACTAATCTGTTTTTCTAATTTCTCGCTTATATCCATAAGTCCTCGACCTCCTAAATACCGCAGTAATGTCGTTCTTTCTACTGCACTTCGAGGATGGTGTTTTTGTTTTATTATTATATATATTATATATATTATTACTATTATTATTTTAATATTATTATCATGGTAAATTAAACATATGGGTAAGTAAGTTATGTATATTATCATTTTTAAATACTTATGAATATTGCATTTTAATTTGTATTGTATTATCATATTGAATTATGTTGCAGTGTATTGTATTGTATTTTTATATAAATAACAAAATAAACAATGAATTTTACTGCAGAGTATGTGTAAAAAATTTTTTGCATTCAATTCCGTTTATACATATATATGAAAATAAAAAAATATATTTTCAATAAAATATTAATTTGATCCTTCATTTACTATACTCCTATTACAGGTCAAATGTTGATATACAGCAAACGATGCACCATATATCTATATAACTAATTATTTTTCTCTTTCTGCTCTCCCTTACGTATATCATTACATATGCAATGATTGTGTAGATTGACTCCCATATAAATTTGTAACGGGAACGCGTGTATAGAAGTATAACTTCTACCGGCAGTCCCACTGGAGTGCCACACCGATTTTTTTTTATTTGTAGATATAGATTACAATAATTAAGAATGTAAAAAAATGTATAAAAGATAGAGAATAATATAATAGAATCATTTTTAATAGGTTAAAAGATTATATAGTGACCTACCAGTTAGTATCTTTTAGTAACACCAAGTGAGTGACTCGTACTGTTTTATAAAAATGGACAAATGAGTTTGGGCAATGACAAAGAATTTTAATTCCAATGATTTCGTATCATTCATTATATATTATAACCTTATTTACGTATTTTATACTTTACCAAAACCAAATAGTGATATATTAATCTTCCTCGGTAAAATGGCCCATGCTAACACTGGCAGAAAAAGATTTATCACGCTGAAGAAAATGCCTCTTATCATGTGGACAGTCCCTCTGTATTTGGACGAGTGGAATTCGGTGATGTGTGAAGTGGTGGCTGAGTATGGACCGTTTAAACTGAAAAAAAAAATGAATATTTTTATAAGATGATCAAGTCATAACGACAAATGAAACAAACATCTAAGATTCAGAAAAAGGAAACAAAATAAAGAAAAAATTGAAAGGCTAGAAGACATGAAGAGAAAAATTATACAAAACATTTTTATAAGGAAATAAATTTTAATGAAAAAGGTTTACAACCAAGAACAAAATTGTGCAAAGATATAGATAGTGAGCTAATAGCAGAAGAAAAAGCAGTGCTAAAACGGTGAAGAGAATATTTCGAAGAATTGTTAAATAAACAAAATCAACCTTATGAAATAGAAGAGCTAAGATTAGTATTACAGTAGTAGCACACTTATATGCATTAACAGATAAATAAATAAAAGATGTAATAAAAAAAATGAATAATAACAAGTCCCCAGGATGCGATACAAAAACCGTAGAAATGTTAAAATATAGAGGACATAGATTACAGCGGGAATATTTATACAGTACTAGTCAAAAGTCCGTTCCCCTCTCGTATCTTGTGAACGGTTATACTTATAATAGTGAAATTTGGAAGGAGGTAATAAACGGACGTAGGCTAGTAATAACAAGTGACGTAATAGTGACAGATCGTTACAGCTCCACTGTGACAGATAATTTTAAATAGGACCTTATGGCAAGTGATACCTCGTTTGAAAGGTATTGAAAATACATATTCAACTATACTAATTTTATTTGAGTTTAAGCTAATTTTAATAAAAAAAATTAAATAAATACTAAAATTGTAGTTTCGGATATACTTAATAAGTATTAAAACCTCCGCCTCTGGTTACTTGTCAAAAAGTTGACGTTTTTCAATCCTCTTCATGTTTTTACGTCAACGTCAACTTTTTTGATAATTAACCAGAGGTGAACGTTAGAATATTTATTAATTAAATGCAAAACTACAATTATTTTAATATACCTATTCAATCATACTAATTTTGTTTGGATTTAAGATGATTTTGATAAATAAATTAAATAAATACTATAATTCTAGTTTGGCATTTAATTAATAAAAATTATAACGCCCACCTTTGGTTATTTGTCAAAAAAGTTGACGATTGTCAATTCTCTGGTTATTTTTAGTGTGCAAAAACTTTTATACCTGAATATTTAGTTTTTTTTTTCTGCTTAGTTTAGTGAATTCTCTAGTTATTTTTAGTTTTCAATCTCGTTTATACCTAATTACTATTTAACTGGGAATAAGCCACAATTAAAGGTAAAAATACGTTTATTGACGTTTCAATTTCCACTTCGGAAATCGTTCTCAAAATACAAACAGTAAATTAAACAAATTTTGTTTTTTGTTACTTAGTGAAAAATTCTTCTAATAATTTAATTTTATCTGACTCATTTATATTGACAATTCAGACATACATTATGCATTTTAAAGTAGATGACTTTAAAATGATATTGCCAATATTGTTGAGTTGCGCTCCTGGAACGACTTTACTTATAAGATAGTTCATTCGATTATATGAAATCAACTTTAACTTGAGAATATCCGTCAGAAAAAAAACTCATAGCATGTAATTCGTCTTTAAAAAGACAAATAAATGACATGATGACAGTAAAATTCTCCTGTTAGTGATTCCATAGTAAATTATGAGAGAAAAACCAGGAAAAAAACCTCATAATACTATCCCGACATGGTAAGTATTTGGTCGTGCATTTAGTTTACCTTCAATAAACACCAAACTCTGATTTTATATGTTTTGTTATTTAAAAAAAAAACATAAATGATGTATCCTCTATATGTTACTGACTTACTAATACTGGTATTTTCTTATTAATAACTTCCTCTTTCAATATTGGTAACCAGATCCTACTACATTCTGCCGAGGAATTTGCGACACAATTGGCCTCATTTAGCATAATTACAGCCGCTTCTTTGATTTTTCTTTTTTTACCATCCGTTTCTTTTAGGACTACATTTGAATTATTCCATTGAACCCTATGTTCATTATCCCATGCGTGTTTACATATTTGAGATCTATCAAATTCTCTATTTTTAATATAAGATTGATGTTCACTTATTCTAACATTTAATGGCCTTGATGTTTCACCTAAATAAAACTGATCGCATTCACAAGGTATTTTATAAATGCAATTCGTTGTCCTTTTTTGTTCATTGTCGGGTTTGGTTTTGGACAAAATAGATCTGAACGTGTTTGTTGTTTTGAATGTTGTTGAAATGTTGAATTTATTTCCTATCCTTTTAAGTTTTTCTGATAATCCTTTTGTGTACGGTATTGTTATTTTCCTCGTATTATTCCTTGTGTATGCTGTAGGATCTCGTTCTAAGTTGTTCTGTTCTATTCGATCGATTGTTGAAAATTCCCTACTTATAAACGGTAATGGATAATCATTTTTTTTTTATAAAACTGATGTTAACAAATGTTTCTCCTCCAAGAACGAATTTTCGTTAAACCAAGTAATTTTGGCTCTATCGTATAAGGATTTCTCTAACTATCTTATAAGTAAAGTCGTCCCAGGAGCGCAACTCAACGATATTGGCAATATCATTTTAAAGTCGTCTACTTTAAAATGCATAGTGTATGTCTGAATTGTCAATATAAATGAGTCAGATAAAATTAAATTATTAGAAGAATTTTTCACTATGTAACAAAAAACAAAATTTGTTCAATTTACTGTTTGTATTTTGAGAACGATTTCCAAAGTGGAAATTGAAACGTCAATAAACGTATTTTTACCTTTAATTGTGGCTTATTTCCAGTTAAATAGTAATTAATTTAAAATGCCACAAGAAAATAGCTACAGAATAATCGTTTATACCTGAATATTTAGTTTCTGTTTAGTTTAGTAAATTGAACGGGGGGTAACGGTAGATACACTTTACGATCCCGGTAAAGTTAGGTCTACTACAGGTTCGCGACCCTGCCCTGCACTTAGCTGGGTATAAGCTCACTTTCATACCCATTTATAAGAAAGGCTCACCAACTGAATGTAATAACTACTACACTATAGCCCTAATCTCCCACGTAAGTAAAGTTCAGAAAATTATAATTAACGAGAGATTAAAATCAATACTTTTACCACAAATCCCACAAGATTAATGTGAATTTGTCCCTAGAAGAGGCACATGAGAACAAATTCTCAATCTCTGACAAATTATAGAAAAATCTAGAGAATTTAATCTAGAAATATATTTGTGCTTCGTCGACTACTCGAAAGCGTTCGATAATGTAAAGTGGCATAAAATGTGGGGAATATTGAGAGAAATGGGTACTCCGAACATCTAATATACCTACTGAAACAAATGTGTATCAACAACACACCAAAACGTAAGAGTCAACAACATATACTCCGATAATTTTAAACTAAAAGCCGGTGTTCGTCAAGGACGTATTATCTCTCTCACGGTATTGAATATATATAGCGAAGGAACACATCATGCGCATTGTAACATACTACGAGAGACAATGAGAAACAACAGATAATCGACTAAAAGAAAACCAGAGAGAGAAATAAAAAACCCCCCAGAGGGAAACGATACCATATAAAACCCCAGAGTGAAAAGAAACTCCAAAATTATAACACTCACACAAGGAAGATAGTTCGTAGCTCAAATCATCCAGAATATCGCACATCGCCTCGTACACAGTGGGCCCAGCTGCTCAACAAGGATACAATCTATATTGTGGTATCGTATAATATTTTATATATTTTCTTTATTATAATATAGATTATATACTAATTATGATTTTTTGTCCACAGGTCACCTACAAAAAAAACCACAAAAAAAAAACACAAAAAACCGGCTTCGGCCACCAAAAAAAATTACAAAACCCCCAAAACCCGGGCACGTAGGGCCCAACCCCTTGAGCACCAACTGAGCCGGGATTCAGAGCGGGGACTTGAGGCCCAAGTAAGCAATTTTAGTTCGCGGATAAGCTACATTAAAGGATTCCCCACACCGACGCGAAACTTTTGCGACGCGAAACCGTTGCGGAACATTCGCAGGCGGAGCACTATTAAATTCATTATATATAATATATAATGAAAACTTACCATTTTCTCCTAGAAATGACCCTATATTATCCCAGACTTTATCCTTTTTTCTTATATTTTTATAATTTTCGTCACTTAAATCATAAATTATAGGATATTGTTTCACAATTTCAATTAGTGTTTCTGTAACAGCCATTTTAATAATTCACGCGAAACTATAACTTGCTATAACTGCAGCGGAAAAAACCGTGCATGCAGCGTTTCATGAAACGTCAACGCTGTTCTGCCGCGACCGTTCCGGTTTCCGTCCGAACTTGTCTGAACACATGCATTAAGTCGCCGTGCCTTACGATTCGCCGCGATTCCGCTGCGAAAGTTTCGCGTCGGTTTGGGGAATCCTTAAAATAACAGGAATATAGCGGAGATGCGCTGTTCTGAGTTTTTGCATTCGGTTAGGAAACTATGTTGGGGTTCTAGTACCCAGGACCTACACATGAAGAGCATTTGGCTGATTGTTGTGCCTCTATAGCGCATCAGAGTGCTATAGTGGGGAAAGGGATAGTCTAGAGCATTGAAGCACGGTGGGGTGACTCCTGTTTTTACTCGAGTTAACACACCTTGCTCCAATGAATTGTTACACCCGATCGTACTACCTGGGTGAACATTTCTCATAGGCTGGGTTCAATTAAATTGCTTGCTTGCGCATTGTATTCGACGGATAGCAAGGAGGAATATCAGTCGGAGGGCGAAAAATCAGCAATCTCCGCTATGCTGACGACACTTTAGTACTAGCATCATCAACAAATGACCTTGAATACATCATGAACAAACTAAATACTATTAGTCGTAAATATGGACTTAATGAAAATTAATGTGCAGAAGACCAAGGTAATGATTATCGATCAAATTTAAAATAAACAGCCGGACATATGAAACATAGCGGGGTTTGAAGTTGTGAGCCGTTTCAATTACTTAGGCTCCGTTATCACAAATAATGGTGGATGCCAAGAAGAGAT